GACATGAAACAATTAGTCGAGAAGCAAGTGTCAATTGAGTTGTTCATTGAGAAGTATCTGATTCTCGAATTTGCCCAAGTTTCGAGACCTCAAGGAGAGTTCCCCGGATGCTTGATTTAGATAATGAATCGAGTGGTTTTATGACATCTCCAAGTCAAAAGTCGTGGTCTCAACTACAACATTTAAACATGCATTCTCTTGGTAGAACATCAAGTACTATATTCAACGACGCTTCAGGCCACTTTACGGGTGCCTTACCGACCGGATCAATTGTAGAAGAAGAAGCAAATGATGACTCGAAAGATAGTGAAGAAGATGGCGTGCAAATTGATAGCATGCATGTGGCAACTAGAATCGATGATGACTCCCGTTGGATGAAACAATTGCATGTTAACAATGATTATGTGAAAGCTGAAGATTTGTTGCCGACGAGTTTCCATAATGAGGATTGGATAAATACTTTTCAAGCTGAATTTGTTGATGTTAGTTTAAATTTTTAACGGCTTTAGGATTTTACTTTTTAAAAAAGAGGATCTATTCGAGAGCAAGGAAGCATTGATCTTTACAATCCGAGAATGGTCCATCAAGAACGGATCAAATTCAAGCCGGTAAAAACTAATGTAATAAACTACCATGTAAAATGTTACTTTAACGAGAAGATTGAAGTAGAGCATGCAAGTGAGCAGGATGAGAGAAACACGAAATGTCATTGGATGCTAAATGTAGCTGTGACAAAATCATTAAATGGACAGTTTGTAATATCTAGATATTGCGGACTTCATATATGTTGCAATCCGTCGGTGGATGTCGATCATCACTCTACATCTTCCTCTTATATATGTAAGCTAATTATGCTTGAAGTGAGGGCTGAACTTGATCTAAATGCATGTCAAATATTTCAAAGGGTATATGACATGCGGGGGCATTAAGATATCCAAATATAAGGCATATGATGCAAGGAGAAAAACGTTGCCTAAAATATTTAAAGTTTGGGAAAAATCTTATGAATTAATTCCATAATATCTTAAAGCTATCAAGCGAAATAATCCAGGTAATGGATATGAAATAATGTCAGAAGAGATTGCACCGGGGATAAAGAGGTTCACTCGAGTATTTTGGGGATTTAGTCTTGTTATTAAGGGCTTCACTTTTTATCGTCCGTTATTGAGCATTGATGACATACATTTATATGGCAAGTACAAATACGTACTTCTTGTGGCGACCGATGTAGATGCAAATGACGGTATTTCTTTTAGCATTTGCAGTCGTGGAAGTAAAGGATTCTTCTAGTTGGAAGTGGTTCTTTGAACTTATATACAAGTGGATTCCAAGCGTTCGTTCGCCAAGAATAATTACTTTTATCTCAAACAGGATGAAAGGAATTATAAGGGTGTTGCATGAGGGTTTTGATGCACCACATCACCATCGATATTGTTTAAGGCATATAAAAGATAATTTCAAGAAAAAACACTGTGAGATTAATTTGCAAAAACTTTTGTGACAAGCTGGGTGTGCAACCGACACACTAGTGTATGAACATTGTTGGGAGAAAATCAAGTCTTGTCATTAGATGCACATAATATGATTGAAAATAACTTGAAGACTCAATTCGAGCATCGATAGACATTATGTAAGGATGGCGGTGTGCGGTTTTGCATGATGACAACTAATTGCTCTGAGAGTTTTAACAACATACTTAAAGGAGCACGAGCTATGCCAATACAATCATTGGTTGCGAGAACGTTCTATAGGCTAAACGCATATTTCAACAAAAGGCGTGATGATGGCGTAGTCTGGACAACACGTTACACACCGAAAAATGAGTCCACTTTGCATAGAAGAATTGAGGCAGCAAGATCATGTCAAATTAATGTATTCAATGACAACGAATGGCAGGTACATGATTGTGATGATATCTACACCGTTAAACTATTTGATGTTGATTGCACTTGCACATGTAACATATCACAACTCCAAAAAATGCCTTGTGCACATATTCTTGCGGTTTCTTCCAATCAGCAAGGAGGTGCTAGAATTCCCTATAATCGGTATTGTTCGCCGTGGTATTCAACAATTCACTATCGAAAGGCATATAATGAGAGTTTTCATCCACCCGATGATAGTCGATATTAGCCCGAATATAATGGACCACGTCTAATTCTACCTCAATACAAGAGAAGCAAGTCAATCACGATCCGTACGAATTAGGGGAACCATTGATCAAGGGCGAGAAGTTGTCAAGCATAAAAAATATAGTCTTTGCAAACAACCGGGACATACTCGACCTCGTTGTCCATCTAGACCCAATAGATAGCAATTAATTGGTAATAATTGAGTGTTTAAATTTTAATATATTTTAATAAAGGAATGTAATTAGTATATAGTGTTATTAATGTGTTTAAATTGTATGTGCAAGTATCTACACCATGCTACCTAGGCCGGTTAGTGATAAGGTCCTATATGACCAGTCTCGACACCGTTCAGATATTATATCATTTTCAGAGGTAATTAAGTTGCTCAATACATATTATTAGTATTGCGAATTGTTATTATTGCAATATTGCATTCTTATACTAGAGAGGCCCAGATATCGTCATGGTTGATCATAACCTTGGCCATAGCTGTTGGCGACTAGAGGATGAGCGTCTCATTGCAGCTGTAGGATGGGCCGGCTTCTTGGCATGTTCAAAGCTCCGTTAGATGAAGCTCGATTGGCCACTACTCACCGCTTTAATAGATAGATGGAGACCGGGGACTTATACTTTCCACTTCCGAATGGGAGAGTCGACCATTACTCTACAGGATGTATCTATCATACTTGGTCTCCGCATAGATGGTCCTTGTGTTACTGATAGTGATAGAGCTGTATGGCGAACTAAATATGAGCAGTTGCTAGGTGTAGCTTTGGAGTCGATGCCTAGAGGAAATATTAGATTGAAGTGGTTGAAAGAGACATTCTCAGTGTCATTGCCTATTGATGCGCCACAAATATTGATTGAACAACATGCACGTGCATATATTATGCACATGATCGGTTCGATATTATTTCCAGATTCGAGTAAAAGATAAAGTGCAAGCAATGTATGTGTATTTGTAATTTGAATCTGTATTTGGTTGAATTAGCTTCTTTAAATAAATTGAAATATTGTGAATATGCTAGGTGGTTACCACTCTTCGAGGACTTTGACACATGTGGTACGTTATCGTGGGGTAGTGCCGATTTGGCGTACCTATACAGAGAGATGTCCAAAGTGGCTTTCATGCAAAACAATGACTTCAAAGGATGTCTAACCTTACTGCAAGTATGGGCATGGGAGAGACTTCATTTGAAGCCGAGACTATGCGTGCATTTACAATTAGATGGACAAATTCCACTGAGATGTAGTTATCCATTTTTTAATGTAGCAAATATAATTGTAGTTATCGTTGTTGGTACTAAATTTTGTAACACAGATGGAATGTCCAAAAATGCTACGACGAGACCCGGCTAGACAATTAGATTTTTACCGAAATGAGCTTGACCGTATGAAGGTTTTTCAGGTATCTTTTCTATAAAAATGAGCTTTTTCTTTTATGTCTTTCAATTTTAATAATATGCAACAATTATGTGAAATATTCTGTAGATGGAATGGGAGCCCTACACTCAGTTTCTCAATCACCTACCACCGATATGCTTAGAATACCCAGTTACATGGAGAGCCAGAATTCCTCTTATATGTTTTGAGATAGTAAAGATGCATATACAAATGTATGTACCGGACCTCGTGTTTCGACAATTTGGTCTTGCACAACATGTTCCGCAATTTGTTGAAAAAATAGAGAAGAAGGCAAAGAAAGAAGGCCATCAAAAGGACTGGGCAGCTAACCATCAGGATTATATACACAGATAGGACATTTTTGTATTGTTGATCAAATTGAGCCAATTCCCCGGAATCGAATTACTACACTTGGTATTAGGGGATAACCCGAAGATGGATACTCCATGCGACCGAAGCACCGGTTGAGTTGCAAAAAGGATAAGTGTCTTGGGATATAGATGAGAGAGAATTAGTAAGTATTTTCAGATTTTGATTTAAGATTCATTTTCAGAATTAGTAAGTATTCCTCAATATTGCTAACATGTGTTTTTTGGAATAATTGCAGCTAGCAGCAATAGATGATGTTCAATCCATTACAAATCATGACAGAGAATTGGCTCGAGCATGTAATATAGAATTATATTTCAAATTTAGATTTCTGTAATTTGAATTTTGAAGTAATTTCCCTATTTTAGATTTTTTGAATTATCTCTCGCAGATACATATCCCGAAGCACGAGAACATGTAGTCGATAGTGCGAAGGCTTCACCAAGCCTTAAGCTGAACTCATGAAGATCTTCATGATAGGCGAGAGGTCATGCAACAAGACAATCTCGATGTCGTATACACACGTCAACCAAGACAAAGCCGAGGACGATGTAGAAACGACGATGAAGCTGGACCTTCCCAACATGCACACGATGGAGCCGGACCGTCACAACCACAAACGCAACCGGATGACGAACTCGTCCAAACTCGGGACTAGAAGTCCAGTGTAGTTCAAAAAATTACCCACAACAAAATCGACCCTTTTCATCTGAGTTAAGATAAAAAGGGTCAATTTTACTGTCTTTTCTGTGAGGAGGTTGATTTTGCTCATTAATTTTGCAATAAGGTTTGTTTTTAAAAATTTGTCCAAATGATAATTGTAAGGTCAAAACCCTTGTGCACCCTCACCAATCAGATGGTATGAAGAACTATGCATCAGCAATAGGCGCCCTCGAAAGGAAAACCATATCCCATAAAGCAAAATTAGTTATTATGTTGGTCACGTTCGCTGATTGTTGAAGGACCTTTACATAAGTAATTGATGGGTCCAAGTTTGGTCATGTCCACTGTACTAAACAAGCAATTCTCAATTTTCTGATCCTACAATTAATTGGTAACTAACCTACATGGACAATAGCTAAATAGACAATACACACTAGCAATACAAATTTCATAGAGTTTATATCATTACTGCTGAATATAAAATCAAACAATTTAGGAGAGTACACCTTCACTATCCCGTCCAGTAAAACTCGAAAATATCTCTATACTAGGGTGATAAAGAAACAAACTGTCACTTTCTTAAATAAGGTAGGATTCCCTCACAGTAACTGAAGGCCAAAAGGCTCAAGTGGACATTAGCTTCGGGCCATTATCGGGCATCCCCATTCCAGCTGCTAGTTCAGCATCCAACTGAGTGTGTGGTGCAGGTCCCATCATCAGCTTAACTCTGAATCAAAACAAGAATCAGGTTAAATTGACATTTCAAGTAGAACATAGCTAAGACAAATGGCAAAAGGGGAGAAAAAAAAGTGTCATAAATGCAGAAAATTAAGAAAATTAGTACAAAATGCGTCCTCAGAAAAATTCCAGGTTTTCCAGCCTGAGTATCGTTTTTAACAAATCTCCAATATTTTGATCTGCACTAAACAACAACAGCATACTACTTAACAAAATCTGTCCGGTAACAGAAGCACACAAAAATAACTGTCGTCGTTGCTTTATCCTGTAAATCATTTCTGAATGACTTCTCAACTTTTATGAAATCCATTAAACTGCCTAACTGACAAAAGTTTTCATCCTAGGCATGGATTTAAATTCTGAACTATCAATTTATTTGACATAAAATTACCACTCATTAACCAGCAAAGAGTTGGTAGTAAGGATCCACATACAGTTATGCTTCGTGTCAGATAAATACTGAAACTGGTCACGTCAATCATTAATTTCTTCCCTAAACTATGATAACAGAAGTTAATGTCACTTGATACAACTCTAATTTTAATCACATTTGAGAAACATACCTCAAGGAATACATCAAAAGTTGCACTGCACGGGAAAGAAAGCAGAACCATTTGCCTATACAAGCATTATCCTATTGTCTTCCATTTCATAAAAGAAAACTCGCATGAGGATTGCAATACTATAAATTCCTTTACAAAAGAAATCACATTCCACCATATGTAAGCCACCATCAAGCTTAAGCAACACTATTATGCTCACTACATCATTATATAATATTGTTCCATGTTCTGTAAGATGGCAAATTACCTATCAACTCAACTGGAATATTAAGCCATTTTTGCTGCAAATATAATATTGAAGGAAGAGGACATGGAAAGCCAAAAAAAGGTGCAACACGTTCAATCATGCCTTCAAAATCTTTATGGTGCAATTTATTAATGAATGGTCAATTTGGAAAAGATTTAAATCTACGTTAAGATGCATGTCAAGAGTGATGGACTGACACAACATTTTCGCAGGACTTTCCTACCTATGCACCCACAAGATGTTATACAGGTCTATTGCCCTTTCCGCTCACCTTATTGATAACCTAAAAAACCTGATGCCCCCTCCCCAATAAGGCAGCGAAGTTGGCCTTGAAACTTAACAAGGGAGCTTTTACCTTTGAGTTTTGCATTGCTGTAGTTGAAGCAAACCCCTAGATAAGGAACTTCAGGGGAAGGTTGGCTGTCTGCAGGCCTCATTTGCGATCTTGCGGGCTGACATAAAGTAGCTGAAGAAGCTGCTCAAAGAGGAGCAGACTGTGCTTATTCAAAAGAACATGGTGCTCAACATCCACCTAGATGCAGGGCCATGCAACTAAAAGGTGAGCTATCAGAAAGAAAAAGAAAGAATGGATCGAACAGGAGAGACTGGAAACTGAGCTGAATAAGCTTTCATCATCTTGATCAGAAGGCTAATCAGATAGGAGAAAACCAAGGTCGACGCCTGCTTTGCCTACATAGATGGCTGTCTGGGATGTGTAGCTAAAGTCTAAAGTCAGTTTCTATATGTTGAGGTTGAGCACAAGGAGCTAATTACCAGATAATCCCATTGCAGAAGTTGATTCCGAGGATCTTTTAAATGGAAAATCTCATAAAGCAAGTATCCTTAGGCCCAGGATTTAGAGGTTTATGCCCTTTTTTGCAGGAGTGGGATCTTAGCGCACATCGACTTCATCCATCTTTTTCTTTATCAAGTATTACCCATACTCCAACTTTGTTTTATTTTTTTTTCTTAAAGAACGTAATTTGTCCAATTATTTTTACATTTTTCTAGCTCACTTTTCAGTGACACTGTGCATCCACTTGTGGCCCCATTCCGACATACAACAAAAATCTCTTCTTACCAACATTCATCAAGTTTTTGGATGGTTGGATGGAAAGGGGGTTTCACCCCCCACCCCTTCTCTCTCTCACCCCCACCACACAGCCCAAAAAAAAAAAGACACGCACACATGCACAAAAAACCTTTCCCCTATAGTTAGTCTACTCCGTAGATTGATAGAAAATTGATCATTACTAAATGCCTCTCCTCCCTAAACCCCTTTTCAATGATTAGGGTGAGCTTTTATAAGGCTGTCTTTTATGAGAATATGTGGTAGAGACTTGGATGCTTATTCATGATTTATAGCATTTATGGACACTCAAGTCAGTTCTAAATGGGCTACCTTAGATGAAAGCATAAAGTCTGAGCTTTGTGCAAAACAAATTCGTCATATTTGCTTTTGTTCCATGATTCCATCTGAACCAATCCTGACTGACAAGGCCATGTCCTCACAATTACGTACACAAATTCATTTTTATTATGAAATATTGTTTGAATTGTTCATATTGGAACTTATTTTGTTTACCATTTCTGGAATCACTAGTAGCACCCTTCAACATATTATATCACTAAAATACTCATTTTTCCACTCATCTAGTCTCCCATATTCACAAGACAAGGATTTTCGTTGTTAGTATTGCAATGTACGTAGTTCAAAAAATAAAAGGAAAAATTGCTTCGAGCAACCTTGTTACAAAAGTTACGCAGACCCCCATAAAAAAGCCAAGTGATCAAAGGCCCTTAAACTGAAAGAAGTGTTCATTTACCCCCTTAGCGCCACTTTACACCTCATCCGTTTCCTGTTCTTCCCCTTTTACCCATTTTGTCTTCATCTTCTCCTTCTCCTTTCATGTTATTTCGTCTTCTCCTTTTTCTTTCGCTTTTCCCATGCTCGAACTCCATTCTCCAAAAAAAACACTCTCCAAACTAGTATTTTATCCTTTATCGATGTTGTTTCAAAGGTTAATTTGATTAATCCATCCTCGTACAATGAAATAAAAGAAAGCGCATACCTAATTACTCAACGGTTTAAGGGACATTTTTGTGACTTTTGGATGCTATCTGTTACCTTTGTTGTACGTCTGTGACCTTTAGAAGCTAACGAGTACCTTTCCTGTAATCAAGACATTTGTGCTAATTGTGATAGTTGAAAAACTATTGTGACTATTGGAAGCTAATGTAATCTCTGTTGTACTTTTATCACCTTTAGAGAGAAATTAGGACTTTTAGTTTCTGAAATTGCATGCTTCTAGTTTGTTATTGATTGATGCTACGTGTTACTATTCTACTCAAATTGCCACTACGAAAATACACCCAACTATGCCTTATCATCATCAACTTCTCCGGGCTACTTCAAGCTTTGATGTACTCGTGGACGATGAAGAGGCCTATAGAAGGGATTCTTAATAATATCACAATTTTCCATAATTTTTTTATCAACAACATAGACCAAAAACTTAATTAGCCTTTCACACCCTACCAAATCAAGCCCCAACAGCTAAAATAGCGAACAAGTTTATTCATTTTCTTGTTATGGTGAACTCGATTAGCAAGATATATAGGGAGGAATGATGAACTCCTACTTATCACCAAAACTCGCTTGCATAACTTCACTCCTTATAGCTCGCACATGCACGGGAGAAGAGTAGAAGACCATAGAATAGCTCGTGGTCCCACTAGACTTTTAGTCCCGCCCTCCAACCCTCCAAACCAGCCAGCCAACTACGACCAACCTAATTACGACTGTGCTCCTAGTTTTGAGAAGGAACAAAACAATGGTAAGGCTGAATATGATCGCGTCAGGTTTCCTATGAACTACCAATGGGAATGACATCACGGATTATTTTAAGTTGAAGAAAAAATTTAGAAGATGAAAAGAAAAGAAGATAATGATGAAAGGGGAAGAAGAGGCTGAGAAGAAAAAGAAGACAAGGACAGAAAAGCGTAAAAAGGGAAGGCGGAAAAATGATGAGGTGTAAAGTGGTGGTAAGGATGTAAATGAACACTTCTTTGAGTCCAAGGGTTTTTTTTGTCTTTGAATCTATTCCAAGGCGGAGAAGGCATACTTTTTGTTCCCAAGTTGCTAGAGGCAATTTTCCCAAAATAATAATACTCTGATTTTGCTTTTAGCCTGGACACTTAAGCTTATCTTAAGAATCAACACTTCATTATAAACTTTCTATGTTACAAAGAGAAAATACTTCTATCATGAAGACATACAAGTACCCAACACGAACCAGGCACTAACAGTCTTTGGAACTCCATGGGTATTTCTATCATGTATCGTACTCCTACCTAGACATCAACACTCCTTGAATATTTGCATACATTATTCTGATATATATATATATATATATATATATGTTTAAATTTAAAACATTTGTCATACACTTCTTAAATGTTCATCCTGCAATTCACATCCACTTTCTGATACTCGTTGGACATGGGTTGGATCCGTTTCAACCCATAGCTAGTTCAAAACTATGATTTAAAGGGTCATTCAATTATCTAGTTCATAAACTAGTGAATTTCAATTAATCATCTTCATAATTAAAAAAACATAAAAAATGTCATAGGAACTTTAATTTTCATAACATATGAATGAAAAAATAATATTGCTCGTGTAAATTATGAATTTCATTATATGTACATAGTTGTGTCCTTGTACCCTACCTTTACAAACTTGCAATATCTAGACCCATATCCTTAAAACATACTGGATGGTATTTTTTCAGAAATTTATCCAATTCTATTGCGTCCCAAAATACAGAAAAGATCATGCCAATTTTTGTAATGTTCTGGTTTTTTAATGTCTAGAGTTTGCAATATGGAAATTGAAACATCCAAATCACTTCATGGTATTAATATTCCTATACCATGTCCAACCAACACCAGTAAGAAGGGCTATTTTTATGAATGTATCGTATCAGGCATAAGCATTCAATTCATATGGTTTGGTTTTCCCACATGCATGCGCGCACAAACACATTTGTCACTATATAGCATATTAACTACTGTAAAATTAGTATGGCCTAAAGAATGAGGCAAATGCAGACGCATTGTTAATATGTAAACATGAATATATTTACTTGTGTTTAGTTATTTAGATGTTTCGTACAGAAACAAAGTAAATTGTCAAATAACGTAACCTTATGACCAATTTCACTAATCCCATTTGTTCTGTCTTAAGCCTACTAATGGTCGCTTATGTATCTAAATGACATAGACAAATGCAAACACTAAAATAACTTCCTAAAAGTAAAGTATCAATAAGCCAGTCCAACACTATATTATGAGAATCAACGTCTAGCAGCTGACTTATTAACATTATGTTGATAAAACATTGAGGAAATAGAAGCAAGCGACCTTTCCATCCTATATTACATCTATTAACTTTCTCTTTCCGCCGTGCCAATTGCATGGAAGGCTTAGTACTGCTTGTTTATTGTGCTTTCAGCACAATGTTCAGGCTGCTCCAATTGTTGAATCTTTAGGACATCTGAATTAAGGATAATTTTTTATGCTGAAGAAACACAGGTTTATACTCAACTTCTGTATCTACTACCCATTCTTTTAATGTTCTGATGAGCTATAGCAATTCAACTGGCTACATTACAAAGAAACTAACACATCCCAGAAGCTAAATCGGCCAATTGCTCACTACGATCACATTCACATAACAATCCTTGACCCATCATTTGTTTCATCATTTAACATAAGAACTAGACGTCTCGCTAAACCCAAACGAATATAAATAACGATGCAGCACAACTATATGATCGAATTATTTTAACTACAAAGTTCAACATACAAGTCACAAAACCCATGACAATCAGAATGACGAACAGCAAAAAATTACCTCTTCCTGTGTCTCTTGGATCCATTGTGCTCTACCATCACAGCCTCGCTAGCAAAATACCGACTGCAGAAACAAAAAACAAACAAATATCATAATTTTTACCCCAAAGACAAACAAAAAACAAAGAAACCCTAAATCATTGAGAAAACTCCAATTACTCGCAATGGAGGCAATAGAATTGACCCATTCCAGGGAGATCCTCATCAAGCGGCAAGGGTTTGGATTTGCTCTCTTCAGCCAGCTTCACTAGCTCATCGTAAACCGCATCGTCACGTGATCATCGACGAGCTCTCTAGGTTAAAGAAATCAAATAAAAAACAAACAAATCAAGAAAAAAAACAGAGCAGAGATCAAAAAAGGATATCTTTTAACATGAATTTGGATCTTCGAGCGGTCTTGTGAGAGAATCTCCTCTTCTTCACTTTGCGGTGCGGGCACTTTCCTCCCATCTCTCTCTTGCTCTCTTTTGGCGGCAACGAGAGAGGAGATTTCTTGATGAAATCTCTAAACCCTAGAAATCTAGGGTTTCTATGTAAACTAGAACTGGCTGCGTCACGTGCAGCGCACGCGATTTTCGGGGACATTTGTTTTTAGTTTATGGGCTGGGCCGTGCCGGTCACAGTCCATATTTTTTTAATACCTTTTCCTTTTTCTTTTTTGTTTTTTGATGTTAATTAATTGTGTAGGCGTTCAGAACAGAATACACACTTAAAAGGAAATTGTTACATTTGTAATCTAATGAATAGTTCAATGTAATCGTCACAATCAATACTACTTTTACAAAAGCTTGTGATTCTGAGCGCATGAATCAGAATTTAATGCAATGTATGGAACTTATAATCACATTCGAGTTGTCTACTATCCAAGCAAGAACTATTATTAGTAAACTATCAATTTATATAGCCTTAAATATTTGTTAACGTTCAAGACCTATGCTCTTTTCATCATTCAAATCAAACAACTTCATAACTCAAACAATAATGTATAATATATCATCTCATATCAATAACTCATAAAAATGCATAAAATTTTAAGGATTTGCCATGTATAATAATCATATCTAGTGGGACAGTTAGGATTTTTTTTTTGCCTCAATGGTGTGACCATATAATTTATGCGTTTATTAAAGTAAGCAATCCGCATGATTATCCTTCTTGTTGTTTTGCCCTAATTTTTTTGATGTCTTAAGTAGTAATACATGTAAAATAAGTAAAAATAACTATAAAAAGGCAATTTACTGGTGTATTGTTGACACCATTGAACACTATGTAGCTTTGTCATTGCTCATACCCATGATATTTGTAAGTTTGTTTCCTTACCGGTGCATCTAGAACACTAATGAAGCACTGTTATTGAAATAACAGTAAGGACAATTACGGTTGCAACATGTATCGAAGAAGCTAGACACGAGTCAATTGTTTCTTTAAACTTTTTTGTTAAGAGTCTCTACTCACGAGTCGTTGCAAAAAAATATGCATACCGAGCCAAACGGGGTTTAAATAAGCGGCATAACCGACAATTATGCCAGCTGGAACCCCCTGTACGTACTCCCTACAGCTGGACACTCTCCCGTCTGGGATGTTGGTTGAGGAAGCAGATACGCAACAGCATATTTTTACAGCTAAAATGTTATTTCATTTCTGTTGTTTGGTTAGCATCAAGATAGTTGGGTAATTCAACTTACATTATGTAGAAAAAAAATAACTGAAATATTTGTTGCAGCCAATTTAGATGCACTGAATTTTGCAGTTTCTTATATTAGATAAAAATTTAACAAATCAAGGTCATGTCATTAGAAGCAAAATGGGAATGTAGACTATTCTACAATCTTGGATAAACAAACATTTTCTTAGCAACAAAAAAGTTTGCGACGAAATACGCAATATAGCTACTGCACCTAATTAACAAAACATTGAATTTGAAATGAAAAAAAAAACATTTCCTATAATAAATATCCATACGCATATCCAAATTAAATGTGACAGGTAAGACACCGAAAATACGTATGATAATCTGGACCTAAAAATAAATAAATAAATAAATAAATAAAAAATATATTATATTACTATATATATATATATATATATATATATATATATTATATATATATATATATATATATATATATATATATATATATATATTATAGAAGACTCCTATCAACTTAAGTTGATGTCCACCAAAGTTTGTAGCCACACATTTTTAAATATAAAACACCTTTTTATAAATACATGGATCCCTAGGCAATATGCAGTGGTTAAAAACTTTGGTGGACACCACTATTCCCTATCCACTTAAGTTGACACAAGTTTTCACCATATATATATATATATATATATATATATATATATATATATATATATATATATATATATATATATATATATATATATATATATATGTGAAAAGTGAATCTAAGGTGACCCCTAGGCTCCACCTAAGGATGCGGCCTAAAATCACATCATTCCCTAATATTTTTTACGATCTGCTCCGTTGAACTTGATCTACACGTGTCTTAAACTCAAACACACTAATTTTGGGGGAACCCGTCGTGTTTGATCATTCGTTGAGTCGGCCCAAAAAGTTCTATTTCATTCGAAACCGGTTAAAATTACGGCGAGTGGATGAAGGGTCAAACACGACGGGTTCACCAAAATTAGTGTGTTTGGGTTTAAGAACGTTGCAGATCAAGTTCAACGGAGCAGATCGCTAAAAATATTAGGGAATGATGTGATTTTAGCCGCATCCTTAGATGGGAGCTAGGTGTCACCTTAGATTCACTTTTCCCTATAATATATATATATTATATATATATTATATATATATATATATATATATATATATATATATTATATATTATATATATATATATCCTGCGGTAAAATCAGTATCATTTTGCAGCCCCGTTCATTGCTTATCGGGTATCGGGTCGGTAAATGGAATCGGATCTCCAACACGACCCGCTTCAAGACATCTGGTGGGTGAAGCAACGCCTCCAAAACTCCATGCAAACGATGTGCTCTCTCTAATAACACGGCACTTCTATCTCCTACTCTCTTCTCATCTCTCCCCTCTACCTGTCCACCGCCAAAACCCTTTCAAAGTCCCCCCCCCCCCCCCGCTCTATCCTCCACCCCCCCTCACTGACAGCGAGCGGGCCCCTTTCTCTCTCTAGAAAAAAAAAAAGAAATGAGGAACCTGGGCGTGAAGGAAGCGCCGGTTCTTGACGCGGCGGAGAACCTGAAGCTCGCGTGGCACCACGTCAGGAAGCCCGTGGTGGTGCCCGTGCTCCAGGCGGCGGTCTACGTCTGCGCCGCGATGTCGATCATGCTGTTCGTCGAGCGGGTTTACATGGCGATCGTGATCCTCTGCGTGAAGCTCCTGAGGAGGAAGAGGTACACCAGGTACAGGGTCGACGCCATCCTCGCTGAGCTCGAGGCCACCAGGAACCACCCCATGGTTCTGGTCCAGATCCCAATGTACAATGAGAAGGAGGTAATTAATTCATTTCGTGTTGTTTTTTAATTTGTTTTCCCCCCCTCCCTTTAATCTCCTTCTCAAGAAATTAACCCCCTGCGGCATGTTTCTTGGAAAAAAAGATGAGATTTTTATATTCAAGAACTTTTCTCGTTGTTCAGCTCTGTTCTGTTCTGTGGAGAACAAAGAAAGCTCTGTCGTGAAAATTAATGATTTGATTAACGATGTAAAATGAGGGTTTTTTTTAAACTGTATGGGTTTCTTGTAATTAATTTATCTATCTTTTTGTTATGCCACTGGAGTAAGAGCTTATATAATTAATTAGTGACATTTGTTTCGTTAATTTGTTTATATGAATAGAGTAAAATCTCCACAAACACTTAATTAGCTAGGAAATTAGACTTGTTTATTGTGATTTTACTGTATTAATTATATGTTAATTAATAATGCAGTGACATGGGAATGTTCAACTTCCTTAATTAATTTGTTTCCTCTTTCATGAGGGGATCCACAAGCAGATTCCAAAATAAGCTGAAGCCTTTTATGTTCCAGAGCTAAATTACATAATTTTGTGTTTACGATGGATGCGAAGCAGTTCTATTTTTGGGGATGAGAGAGTAAATTTTCAAAAGGAAATGTCCATAATTCTACAAGGGAATTTAAATTTAAAGGGTATTTTAATGTAAGAGAAACTAGAAATCATTATAATACTCTGCTAGCTAGTAATTGTGATAAATTGTAACTGTCAACTGTCTTTTATTACATAATAATAGAATATGATCTTAATCTGTTTTCAAGTAATTGGCTTCTTTTGCTACTTACTTTTGTATTCCAGTTTTTTTTAATATATAAACAATTCCTTGATAAATTACTTGAATTGTACAGCTGCTTTACTATGCCATGTTCCCAATTGGATTTTTATGCAATAAAATAACTATATTTAAATATTATTTCAAATTCTCCTGTTAAATATGCACGACTCATCCAATGAGATCAGAGTTACAAATTACATATATATATAAAAGAAAAAAGTCAAAATATTTGTATACTAATAAAAATCAATGTACTAAAATTTCTATTCAAGTACAGGTATACAAACTATCCATTGGAGCTGCATGCAGACTCAATTGGCCAGCAGATAGGATTACAATTCAAGTTCTTGATGATTCCACTGACCCGCACACTAAGGCAATTAATCAATTTAAATCACAAATTTTCTCCATACTTAACCCCATTACTTATTGCTAAGAACAAACATTTGTTTGTGTCTTTTTATGAATAATATAGCAATTGGTGGAGCTAGAGTGTCAAAAATGGAGAAATGAGAATGTGAACATCAAGTATGAGATCAGATCAAACAGAAACGGATACAAAGCCGGAGCTCTACGTGAAGGATTGAAGAAACACTACGTGAAGCAATGCGAATATGTTGCAATTTTCGATGCAGATTTCCAACCCGACACAGATTTCTTGACGAGGACAATCCCCTTTCTTCTCAGCAATCCAGAGCTCGCTCTGGTTCAGGCTCGATGGAAATTTGGTTAGCTGCAATAACAATGCATGGATTACCGATTTTATGACAAATTGATGCCTGATGTTTTTCTAAGTAAATTTTTGATGCAGTGAATTCTGATGAGTGTCTGATGACCCGATTGCAAGAGATGGCTTTGGACTACCATTTCAGTGTGGAGCAAGAAGTTGGGTCTTCGACGTACTCATTCTTCGGATTCAATGGTAACTGACATTTGGTTCGACGGGAAAATAGAGCTGCAGTAGAATCACATATACAGAAATCATGACAAAGGAACAAATTTTGCAGGAACTGCTGGAGTCTGGAGATTGCAAGCTTTGACAAATGCTGGTGGATGGAAAGATAGAACAACTGTAGAGGACATGGATCTAGCTGTGAGAGCAAGCCTCAAGGGTTGGAAGTTTGTTTTTGTGGGAGACTTATGCGTAAGTGTCGTATACTTTATTAAACATGATCAATATCTCAGTCTCCTATAATGCTGTATGTTATGAAAACAGGTGAAAAATGAGCTCCCAAGCACATACAAGGCTTACAAATTCCAACAGCACCGATGGTCTTGTGGTCCTGCAAACTTGTTCAGAAAAATGTTGAAAGAGATTATTCTCTGTGAGGTAAATTGATTTTGTCTAAAGTTTTTAAATCTGAGATTATTCTCTTATACGTGTTTGTTGACTAATGCAGAGGGTATCAATATGGAAGAAGTTTCATGTGATATATGCTTTCTTCTTTGTGAGAAAGATAGTTGCGCACATCGTTACCTTCTTCTTCTACTGTATAGTAATTCCAGCATGCGTGCTTGTACCCGAAGTCCGTCTTCATAAGTTTATTGCAGTCTATGTTCCTTCAACAATCACCATTCTAAACGCCGTATGCACTCCGAGGTATTATTAATTCCTGGAGGTTATTTGAAATTAGGGTTAATTGCGGATAGACCCCTGTTCTTATCGCTCAATTGTGGATAGAACCCCTATAGTTCTTTTTTCTTTTTTGTGAATAATTTCTCCTCAGGGGGTCAATTTGTCACAAAAAAAAGTTTATCTTTCTCTGATGTAAAAGAGTCAAAAATTTTGACTCAGGTGTCTGTGTGCAACAAGAGAACTACGGGGGTCTGTATGCAATTGGGCAAAAGTACAGGGTGTCCAAACGCAATTAAATCTTGAAATGATATAATTTTACTGTTATGAACTTTGCTCTAATTTTCTTGTTTGGTTTATAAAAGGTCGATTCACTTGCTCATATTTTGGATCCTCTTTGAGAATGTGATGTCGATGCATCGAGCCAAGGCGACGATCATAGGGCTGTTGGAAGCGAGCCGTGTCAATGAATGGGTTGTCACGGAGAAGTTAGGAAACGCAAACAGGCACAGGAATGATAACAAGTCGCTCAGAAAACTTAGACAACGCATTGGAGAAAGGTAAGCTAATAATATGAATATATACACAACAAACGCACAGATTACAGTACGTTTTGCAATCAATGGTGATATGTTCTCTGTTACCAGGGTTCAACTGCTGGAGCTATTCGTGGGGCTGTACCTTGTGTATTGTGGAATCTACGATATAATGTATGGACGCGATCACTTCTGGATCTACTTGTTCACTCAAGCAATAGCCTTCTTCATCGTCGGAGTTGGCTACATTGGCACCATCGTTCCAACTTAAGGAGAAGGGAGGTCTACATTTGCTCGAAAATCTGGTTTCTTAATTAGTGTATGTCGTTGTTCATGTTTGTCTACTGTTTTGCAAGTAAAAAGAGTCACTGTGGAGGTCAAGATGTCAAAGACTCAGTTGTGTATCTTTATCCAGTTATATAGTATCAGTAAGTTACTTGTATGTTAATGAGCAGCTCATGAAGAAGTGATTGCCATAGTAGAATTAGACTTGTGCTGCTGTGTGACCGATGATTCTGATTGCATTTATTGGTAGCCCTTGCTTGCATCTTGCGGAAATTACTCAATTTCAGTTATCTGGAGGAGTTGGAAAATAAAGGATAAATTTCACAAAAGAACCCCAGGAAGTTTGGCCCGTTTTGCGATAACCGGCAAAAAGATTGGAAATGTCACTTTATTCCCAAAAAATTAGTACCAAAGAGTTTGGTAATGTCAGTTAACTCCCCAAACATTCTCAGAGAACCCCAAAGTTGGGATTACCTGAAAATAGATTTAGAAAAAATGCAGACACTTTGCGGGTTTAATTAAGTAGCATTTGTTGCGCGCCTTTGCGGAAGCGTGCTCGACAACCAAATGAGTCCGCGAGTCATAGGAGAAGATAATCAAACCAAACACGTGCACAATCCAGTCCAAAATATACGACAAATCAAACCAAACACAGAAAAAAAACCCTAAACCAAATCAAGAAGAGTACAAATGGTTACAATCTCACAAAATCACTCAAATAAACCCTAAACCAAATCTCTCAACTTGCTCGGTTACAATCTCACAAAATCACTCAAATAAACCCTAAACCAAATCTCTCAACTTGCTCACAAGTTCTCCCTCTCAATATACCAAATCTCTCAACTTGCTCACAAGTTCTCCCTCTCAATATGCTCAGTACAATCTCAAATCTCTGATTAATAACCCTAGAAAATCGTGTCCCTATTTATATCAAAATAGAAACCCAAACAGAATCCAGACAGGAAACCAAACTGTGAAAAAAAACCCGCCATAAGTCGACTTAACATGGTCCATAAGTCGACTTGGCAGAGCAAAAAACACCAACTGGAGAACAGATCGTAAGTCGACTTAGCAGTACTGATAAGTCGACTTAACAGAGCCTAAAACAACAATTCCAGAACAGAACGTAACTCGACTCATGCATAGACACAAATCGACTTACCATAAGTCGACTTATGCCTGTGCATGAGTCGACTTATGACATAAAAACTGGATTTTTGTGAGTTTCTCCACAGCATTCACAAACTTTTTGAGCTTTGGGGGTTATCTCAAAATGGGCCAAACTCTTAGCGGTTTTCTGAAAGTTAGTAGGCAGACGGTATGGTTTGATGCTATCCCAGAGCTTCAAACTTGATACGACAGCAACTCATATGATCTTACCAAGTAACAAAATACTAGGTTGACACATTTAATTCGATCTTATACTAGTATCCACCAGAAAAAAACCTTTAATGCATATGTAACAGTAGATAGTAAGCCCTGGACTGTTTCTACCCAAAGAGGATCGATACATGGAGGACACCCATCATCATTATCAAGGATGAGATTCATACTGTGAACAGCGGTGTGGGTCTATCCATTCACGCGGAAAGAAAAGACGTGTGGGGACCATGAACACGTTTTTTCTTTTGCTGGCTCGTGAACGCGTTTTCCAGCTGGCAAAGCAGGTCCGGATTTTTCCCTATAAATAGCAATGATCTCCTAGGGTTTTGTGACAAGGGTGAAAACGCTGAGGGGAAATTCTTTAGGCGGCTGCTGTGGGAAATCAAAGTCGGCAGCGTGTGTGGGAACAGCGGCTGAAAGGAAAAACACACTGTGGGAAAATCGCTAAAGCCAGAGAGGGTTCTTGTTTCTTTTTGGCGGCAGAGCAGAGGAAATTGCAGCAGTTGTTGAGGAGAGAAAAAGAGAGATTCTACAAAAGAGAGGTTTATTTCTTTTGGGTAAAAATCAGATCTTTGAGACGAGCTTGTGGATTGTACAAGTCGTCGGTGTTCTCCTTATAGTGGTATCTCCCCTCACCCCTCCCGTGGACGTAGGCAAGTTTGCCGAACCACGTAAATCTCGTGTATTTACTGTTTTCTGGGTTGTTGGCTATTGCTTTTAGGATCCCTCAAAATTCGGTCTTGCGCTGATGAGAGGAAGAGTGGATATCTCACTTCGCTGAGATATTTCGCTACTGAGTCTGGGTATCCTTCGCGAAACACAGATATCGAGGTTGACTTGTGCTTTTGTGACAACAAAAGCCAGGGCTCTCTCTCAGGACATATCGCTTCCGCGGCGGTGGGCGTGACTCTGCCCCCAACAATTGGTATCTCACTGGAAGGATTCCTTCAGTAAAATTCAAATAAGAACAAATTTGTAATTTTTGATTGTCATCAATGCCACTTAAATATACTGAGCACTTACTGGGATAGATTTCCAGGCCTGATACTTTGCCAAACTCATTTAGACATTTGTAAAGCCTAATTATTAAATTCATATCAGCTCTTCCAAATAACAACAAATCATCCGCAAAAAATAGATGTGTAATTTTCAATCTTGAGCACTTAGGGTGATACCTAAATAATTTGTCATCCTTTAAAGTGTTCAACTTCCTTGATAGGTATTCCATGCCTATGACAAATAGATAAGGGGAAAGTGGATCTCCTTGTCTCAAGCCTCTGGCACTTTTAAAGAAACCATGCATAGTTCCATTGAGAGATAGTGAGAATTTAGGAGAGGTGATGCATACCATGATCCATTTTATCATTTTACCAGGGAAGCCTAAACCCTTTAACATTGCTTCAATAAAATCCCAGTCAATGGTATCAAACGCTTTCCTAAGATCAATGTTAAGTATTGCTCTTGGAGTAGAATGTTTCCTCCCATAATTCTTGATAAGCTCATGTGCCAGTAAAATGTTATTTGAGATGACCCTCCCCTTAACAAAAGCACTCTGTGCATCACATAGAAGATATCCCATCACAATTTGGATTTTGGTAGCAATTGGTCTTATAAACACAATTACAACATGATATTGGACGAAAATCAGATGGTGATTTGGGATTTAGGATCTTTGGTATAAGAGTAATCAATGTGTTATTTAATGCACCCAAAAGCTTTCCAGAACAAAAGAATTCCTCCACAGCCAGGAATAAGTCTTCACTAATCACATTCCAAGCAGATTTAAAGAATGAGGCATTGAAGCCATCAGGACCTGGAGCTTTCTCATCCGACATAGAGAAGATTGCTTTCTTTATCTCATCTCTTGAAACTGGAGCACTTAACATACTGCGCTGAATATCAGAGAGAACAGGACCATTTGTGATAATCTCAGGGTCAGGAATTGTGATAGGAGCTTTTGTACCCAATAGATTTTCATAATAGTTTATAAATTCTGTAGCAATTTTAGATAAGTCTGAGATTCTTTCCCCATTTTCAGTGTAAAGAGATAGAACTCTGTTTTGATGCCTTTTATGCTTCATGATAGAATGAAAGAAGTGGGTGCATTTATCACCATTTATGCTCCAATTGATATTTGCTTTTTGTCTGTAAAAAGAAGCTTCACAATTAAGAAGCCTATCATATTTTTTCAAACATTCTTTCTCTTTTTGAATCAGGGGAAGTGAAGAGATAAATGTTTAACTGCTGTCGTGCTTCCTCTAATTCATCCTTTGCTCTCAAAACTTGTTGACTAATATGCATAAAGTGTTTCTTATTCAGATCCTTCAAAACATGTTTCAGATTTTTTAGCTTAGAATGAAACTGATACATCTTAAAGCCAATGATATTTTGCTCCCAAATTGACTTCACAGCAGTAATGTACTTAGGATGACTTGTCCACATTTTGAAGAATTTGAATGACCTTTTACCCATAATTTTATCATCCTCAATTGTAATCAGAGCTGGAGAGTGATCTAAGCAATTTGGAGCTAAGTACTCCACTTGACTTGAAGTGTATTGATGAATCCATTCTTCATTTACTAGAATTCTATCAAGTCTACTCCAAATTCTTGTATCTGCAACTTGTTTATTACACCAGGTGAAAAAACAATCAATGGTCTTGAGATGCATTAGCTGACATGAATTAATAAAATTCTAAAAATCATCAGTATCAGAATTTGAAACAGCCACACCACCAATTGTAGAACCCCGTAATTTTTATATGAATATATGTGAATTATTAGTAAATAAATAATTCTTTTATGATAAATAGCTTGAGGTTATTGATATACATGATAATAAGTTATTTGAGATGATATGAGAGTTTGGGGGTAGAGTTTTGTGCGTTGGTTTTGCAAATTAGCAAAACATGCACAAAAAACTGAATTTTTCCAGATCAGTCGACACATCAGTCGACTGACTGTATCAGTCGACACATC